AAAATCTTTAAAATTTTAAAATTTTTTCGAAAAATTAGGGGGGCTTCTAATACGTCAAACACGTTGTTCATCTCAGAGGGGGCTTCTAATAAGGGGGGGGGCTTCTAATATGGGAGGGGCTTCTAATATGGGAGGGGCTTCTATTATGGGGAGGGGTTTACTAAATGGGTCTACGAAAATTGGTTGCAGTGTAGAATTGGTCGCAATGCTGAAAAATAAAACTGGTAAAAAAAGGAAATTTCTAAGCATTATAGAGAAATAGCTCGGACGAGAGTTTCAGAAAATAACTAACAATCTATTCAATAACAAGGAACATTAGATATGAGTATAAATACAAACGTTTAGTAAAATCTTATGATTGAGCATAATATCGTACTTCTGCTTGTTACGATTTTCACTATTCTACAATAAATATCCTTTTCGGCTTTTCGTAACATTTTGATAAATTCAAAATATAACTGTCTACATTCAATAATCGTCTACTCATGAGATCATAAACAAATTCATTTCATAGGTTAAATCTTCATTTTTCACATGTCACCCCGATCTCTGCGTGATGCTGTGTGTGATTAAATCACATATTTGAAAAATTGAGTTTTATATCAATCGAATTAGGAATCACTCTTCTATCAAACATGCAACCAATTGACGTAGCCTCATTGTTGTTCGATTATTGGTTGTTTTATCCTACTAAATAAGGTGAAGCATAATTAACCGTCAGCAATGTACATAGGCACGTAATCCGTCGCAAATACCGTCGATCAGTCTATTCAGTATTAGACTATTCCATATCATATTTTTATACACGAATACTATTTATAAGAAAGTTATAATTGCACTCTCATTTCATATGTATAAATGGATAAAATAACTCGTTTAGAAGACTTATCTAACGAAATATTCTTCGAGATTTTCGACTATTTAAATGCACTTGAGAGTTTTATGGCATTTTCTTCACTCAATCAACGTATTTCATCAATTCTCTCGTCAATTCATCTACGTATTGTTGTTTCATCGTTCCATTGTCGTCGTCAAATGGAAATTCTTTCTTCATATCTCATCGATCATGTAAATCAAGTGGTTTCCCTTTCTCTTGAGGATTCAATTCTTGATCTTTCATCTGTTATTTCTTTCTTCTTTAATCGACATATATTTGTAAATCTTGAATTATGTACTTTTTATACAAATCATTCGTCACTACGACTACAAAATATTATTCAACAACTAAAAAGCTATAATAAACTTAGATCATTTCGATTAATCTTAACACATTATATAGAATTTTATAAAACAGAAAAACAATATTTAAGTAAAACTATTTTGACACATCAGTCATCTGCACTTCGCTCACTTGAGCTTGAATATTACTGTAATCATTCGCACTTAGCAACTGTTGTTACTCTTAATTGGACATTAACATCATTGACTTTGACATTTTATGATTTACCTCAAAAGTCATCAATTTATTGTGTTTTACATGTGCTTCGTATCTATCGTGTATTGCAACGTCTATGTATACGTATATCAATTCCTACTCGTCCAGATATTCAATATGCATAGTAAGTTTTTATAAAATGATATAACATTTGTCGATGTTTTGATTGAAATATTTTCAACGATCATATAGAACTCACTAGCTTTGTAAATACAGAATTGTTATTAATATTAGATAGATGCATTTTGGATGAAACTGTATTTAAGTTATTGAAAGAAATGATATTTTTGTTTAACCTAAATCTGTACTGATGGTTTGACTATTAAGTCTTGTAAAAAGAAATTATTAAATTTGTAATTTTGCATCATGAAAAATTTTTCATATTTTGGTAATCAATAGATTATTTTGTCAATCTATAAAACAAAATATTTTGTAACAGAATTTTCGAATACTTAAATCATAAAATTGTTATTTGAACACCAAGTAGATGAAAAAACAAATATTCAATTACAATGTCATATGTTCCATAATTGGCAGAAAAAATGAATTAAGAGGAAAAACGAAACATAAAGCTATTCATTCTATTTAGTACACCGATTCTACCAACTGCTTATTATAATAATCTACCTGTATTGCCATGTCTTGAATATTTCGATTTACAAACTAAGACAATGTGCGACATTCATTCATTAAGTCTTATTCTTCGTTGTATGCCCAATCTTCACCAATTCATTTTCACCTTTATGTCTTCTCATGAAATTTCTCTTTATATTGACGATATGCTCGATGGTCATCAATGGCAGCAAATGTTGACAAGTTATGTACCGCATCTAGAAACATTCGATTTTCTCATTGGTTTATTTTATACACGACCAATACTAAACATGGATTATATTGTTCATTCATTTCAATATTTTGTTGCACATTATGATGGCTGGCATATGGCGATTGAACATTCACGATTAATCACTGACGAATCAGGTGAAATAATAAAAGATATTATCTAGCTAAATAATTTTTAACTCGTATGAATATCGTTTAGAAGATTATATTAGTTTACGAACTTTAACATATTCAATGAATAGACGAGAGAACGATCCTGTAGAATCAAATATTCTTTTGGGAACATTCGATGTACGATCGACATTAACAATAGATGCTCAATATCATTATTTTCACAATCATAACAGAAAATTAGAAGTTATTATACCATTAAATATGAGTCTAACTGGTAATCTACCGTCTTCTCCACCATTTCAAAATGTTCAACATCTCATTGTCATATTTCAAATGTCAATATCAACCTTATGGAAAAATATATGGGAACCAGGTAAGAAGAAAATATTTTCCGTATATTTTAATCTTTTTCTTTAGTCTCAATACATAATGATGTGAATGATGAATTTGATACAAAAGAATGTGTTAATACATTAATGCGTCTTGTTGATTTATCTACTATAAAGAAATTAGATTTTGAACCAATGAATAATCTATCTCAACTTCATTGTATTGAACAAATCTTATTGTAAGTTTGATTATGTTGTTTATTTTTATGATGTATTTATTTTGAGATCGTCAAAACATTAAGTGTAATCATAATATATTTTGATGCATTTTCAAGTTATTGTTTTGAGTTTTACATTTCCTCATCGTTTTTTCGAGCCGTAATAGATAGGTCTTAACGAGACTTATTAATTATAGAAGTTTCACGTCTTTAATTTGACTTGCTTCTAGTCTGAAAGAAGAACATAAAATCTGCTATTTGATTTGAGTGATGTAAAAGACACATTATCACCATAGTTCTATCTTAAGAGAGAAAAAGCGATAAAATCTAAAACTCGTTAAGATGTATCACTATACACAGTTTCAAGTCGACATTTGAAAATTAATTTTTCTGGTGTTTCTACAGGGGAACCACGTCATTTATTAAAAAAAAAGATATCATAACTGACTACAAATCCTTTTT